CCCCAAAACCCCAAAACCCCAAAACCCCAAAACCCCGTTTTTAAATTATTTCGTTGATTATATTAGATTAAAACCAATGAGCTTACCTTCTAATGGTAACACATGATCGAATAATGGCAATGCCAGAGTTCAGATAAACAGAAAAGAAGAAGCTATCTCAATACCCGTAGCTACATTTTCAGCAATAAGCGTTTCAATTGGAGCAGGTATGGTAGCTATCCCAAAGGCCTCCTTTGAATCAGGAATACCTTTTGGGGTGTTCTACAATATGCTTAACCTGATATTAACTATTTACTCTATTCACTTACTCCTCGAAAGCGCAAGAGTGACCGGCCTTTACTCAATGCCCAGACTAGCATATGAGTGATTTGGTCATTGCTCATTATACTTTGTCAACTTTGCGCAATTTATCGGTAAGCTTCCTTTTTCTCAAGAATATAGCTTTCGGAATCCTCCCTATTGCGTATTTTATCATTTTTGCGGGAATACTCAGCTCTTTCTTCAACGAAATACCTGGGTTATCAAATAGCAAATGGAGATTTATAGGCTCACAATGGTTTAGTGTCCTCATACTTGGTGTCATCTTGTTCCCTCTGATAATCAAGAAAAGAATTGGAGAATTAAGTATCGCTGCAGCACTCCTTTTTGGAGGTGTGATCATCTTTAATATCTTACTTGTCGTAATAATGATTGATCCAAATGTTAATACAGACTACAAGAGTGAAGACCAATCCCGTTTGTACAGATTTGAGTTCAATCAGACCTTTCTATCCTCCCTTTCTACTGCTTTTGTTGCTTATGGCTTTCAGGCAGGATTTTTCCCGATCTATAATGCTTTGGAACAAAAAGGTTATCGAAATGGGATGCGATTCAGCATGTACGCCATGATATTTTGATTTCTAATCTATGTGTTAATAATGTTCACTGGTCTTTACAATTTTGGAGTGAATATTCGAGGTGATGTCCTTGTAAATGTGTCAATGCTACGTTCGTGGGAATCCTATGTAATCAGAGTAATCTTCCTCCTTATCATGATCACTCATACTCCATTCGTATTTTTCGTTGGAAAAGAATCAGTCCTATGTTTTGCAGTTCTAATTAATACAGCTATTAAGAACGAAGAAAAAGAAGATAAGTATGCAATAATGATCGATGAAAATGAAGAAGATCTTTCTCAAGAGAAGCCACACAAGAATGGCATAAATGGGCCAAAATTAGATATAAATGAGGAATCAAGAAGCCAGAGTAGAAGTAAAGCTGATAATATGCTTGATAAAAAGTTTCCACAAGAAACAACAGAAGATGTACTGAAATCTCTCGCGATGTCCTCTGCAAGAAAATCTCACGGAGATTTACCTAGAAATGGGAATGAGGATGAGCTTGATTTTGAAAATGCAGCAGCTCATGAACTTCTTCCTGACTCTATTTATTACCCAACAACAATTATTTTCTTTGTAATTTTGGTTGGTAGCTCATGTGTTATTGAAGATATTGAGATTGTGGTCAAGTTTGTAGGATCTTTAGGATATGCCATTCTAAATTTCTTGATACCCAGCATCACATACTTTCTTATTATGAAGAAGTATGAACCAGAAAAGACTTCTAACCTAAAGCTGTACTCTGCACTATTCCTAGCAATCTACTCTGGAGTCCTAGTTCTAATATGAACAGGAGTAAATGTCTGGACAGCTATTGTACCTCTTGAAGATTAAGCCACAAAATTCAGGAGCAAATATTTGGCCTATTTTAGCAATATAAGTTATAATAAAGCTTGCTTAAATCTTAATCTCTAAGAGACCCTATTACAAATAAATCGGATGGCTTTATCTAAAATCTATTTTTTACAGCTCTTATTAATTATTGTTTTCAATAATGTAACAAATCAGCGGGGTTTTGGGGTTTTGGGGTTTTGGGGTTTTGGGG